TTTGGTCAAAATTATGCTGAGTCGGCAGCCCTTAAATCTAAAGAAACGACTTCAGCATGCCAGACAGCCGAATCACGTTGACGGCTAAAAAACGTGAAGCCGCCGAGCGAATACTGCAGTTGTCTGTGCTCAAACTGGACAAGATAAGGAAGTCAAGGAGGGGATTAAATTTGAGGCAAGAATTGCTAATCGTCAACACGGTGTTCCACGCACAACGAATCTTGGAAAGAGGAGCTGGAAGAGCGCGCCCACCGCCACTGTCTTCCATATCTCCTCACACAAACGCATTCATTTTATCACAACATCGGTCGTTCAATGTGGCGGTCGTTAACATCATATGGACTCTTCCACAAGGAATGCCACCTGATTCATCACAACACCAATCTCCCCACCTCCTTCATATTTCTGATCTCCCAAACACTGAAAATGTCGATAACAGGGATGGATTTGATGTGCGCAACGATTCCTTGTTCAATGGCAATGCATAAGGCTCGAACGACGCTCTAATCAGCGCCATGAAAAACCAAGAGTTAAGGAATGAAGTACCTATTTTCCCACCAATCCTGTTTTCTGCTTCACCCCGTGGCTAGTCTATGACCTACTCAAAGTCTGCAAAGGGTTCTTAGAAGAAGAAGTTTATGTGCCTAATGAAGCAGTCTGGTTTTCAATGCTGTTTCTCCATAACAGTGGCTACAGTGGTTGGTTGCATATCTGCGTTTGTACATCGGTGGTTGAGTTGTCTCAAACGAAATTTGAAAATGCGTGTTTTTGAATTCATTGAATATTGAATAAGCAAAATGTACTGGTTGTGGCCAATTACTCAAAAGAAAAGCGTATAAAACCAGAATACATGAATCGGCATATTGACGTACCACTGGAAGAATGCACTGTAGATGTTGAGGCAGATATTTGCTCGCCTTAGTGACTCCATTTTCGTGGTTTCCACCCCGCTGACTTGAGCGTCGTCCAAGTCGTCTGCATTGAAATTAAACAGGGGATCGTAAAACGCATTGAATTCCTTTCTACTATCGATTCCAGTGGTGACTGCAATCTCAGCAATGTCACGAATACCTGGATATTGTGGTTGCAAGGAATCATGCCATCTTTCTTGTGAAGAGATTTGATAAAAATTATGAGGAGGTGACGGTGACCGTTGTGGTGACAACGCTCTCGGAGCTGATCTCCACAACACACGCCGAGCATGACGCTCAGTGAAGGCTATCAGCAGCCTTCGCCTCAAATCCATCTCTGTCCTTGAATTTGCAGCCCATTCCCATTTAAGCAGAGATGACGCGATTATTCGCTTCGCTACTTCTTGCGTTTCCGGTGTTGCGAGCGAACTGGTAGCGTGGGAAGATTTCGAAGACATGGACATGGAACAAGCGCGCTCAAGAAGAAGAGAGAGGACAAAAATGACTGTGTGGGAGCTATGTTCGATCTCGTAGAGTAGGTGGATCAATCAGACGACAAGAGCCAACCAATCAATACTTGTCAGACACGTTGTTGTCTAAATGTGGGTGAGCAGATTGCGTGTTTGGAAAAGGGCGCAACCTGGACATTTAACGGTATGTGAACTAACACCACCGACTCTCGAGGTCATGAATATATTCGCTTGTTTACACTGGCGTGCAGCATCGACTGAAATGTATAAAGTAGCGAGTTGCATGCAGACCTGATCAAAACTGCAGCATTTTTTTGGCTCTAAGCTCTCATGCGAGTTCCTAGTGACACTTGACTCAAGAATTTCTGCACTGCCATAATGTGCAAAAACTCAAGAACTTGCTGATTTTCGTCGAAGACAGAACGTTTCCTGACGTTTACTACCCTGACATTTTATAAAACACATTTTAATTCATACGTTTATTGCTACGACGTCAACTTCACAGCAAAAATCGCTAAATTGCAGTTATGACAGTTGAATGTGGGATGACACGATATTGCTGCGTCGATTTGACCATCTGAAATAGAACTGATCAAGAAAGCTGTTTGAGTCAATCAGGCACACACTTTGGTTGACGCAAATACAAGTTAACATCAGCTCTATGGATCAACTTCGGCTTGAAGTTATGCAAGAAATTCGTCAACAGAAATTGAGGCAGTTCTTTTCAACGTTATCTCCACCAGCAGCAACGCAACCAAAAGGAAATAGGTACTTTTCAATTACGCTTCAAGTGAAAACGTTAAATTACTCAACTCGTGAGGTGGAGCAAGCGCGCGTGAACTAACACCTTGGCACCTGCGCACACACGCGCGCACGCCGCCACGACCAAACACTGATCAGCCAGTGGCAATGGGGATTAGCTCTCTTTCAGCCGTCTGATTGATCCTCGCACACCACGAGATTAAAACAGTGCTCTCTCACAGTCATTTTTGTCCGGTCACCTTTCCGTGAGGGTGATTATGCTGTGTCGCTC